ACCCTCCCTTCCATACTGAATCCCCCCATTAGCAGACCATTCCCAGACTTATAATCCAGGACATAATCTTGTAACAGACATTAAACACAAGATAACAAGATCTGCCAAACTATAGACTCTAGGTGGGATGAGATCTTAAACCTATTCTACAGATTCATATAACATATTTATAATGTGTGTAAATTAGGTAAAAGTATGCTAAGCGTCCCTCGCTCTTGATATGAAGAATGAAGGATAATAAAGGAAGACGGATTAAGCTTGTAGGATGAAGGATGAAGGATGAAGGATTAAGGATGAAGAATGAAGGATAAAGAATACAAGGAAGAAGCATGAAGTATGATAACGGATGAAGGCTGAAGGATGTAAGATGAAGGAAGAAGGATGAAGAATGATAAAGGAGAAAAGATAAAGGATAAAGAATACATGATTAAGGATGACGGATGGTTTAAGTTAAAGGACGAAAAAGGATTGATAAAAGATAAAGATAAAATTGTGAAAAATTTAAACTGTAAGTAATGAATTTAAAAACTTAAAATAAAAGTTAGAAGAGAAAAAGGTTCATTTTCCATGAAAAGAGTTAATTAAGAAAATCTGATTAACTTCTCTAGCACATCTTTTTGGAACTGTTTTTTGGCAAATAAAACTCTGTTACACACAATAATAAATAAAAGAATTTAAAGAATTTTTAAACCATTTTTACGTTGAATTTGATATAAACGGATAAATGGAAAGGAACGAAATATTGTCAATAACTCCAATTTTCTAAACAATATATCTTCGTAACCTTAGATATCTTTAACTAGAAATTCCACAAGATAAAATAGTCAACGATTAAAATATCAAACGCTATTAGGTTGCAAAGATGTAAGGATTAGAAAATAAGAAAGTTTGTGGTAAGTAATTAATTTCCTTTTCTTAAAGGGACAGTCTTTGTTTTAAATTATCCTTCATGAAGAGAGCTGCATGTCCGATTCACAATGGTTTCCTTTAAACATTAATCTGATCAATAATGTTAGCTTGAAAAGTGTTTAATTCTGACAAAAAAAAACATCAATTTTAAAAGTAAAAACATGTTTACACATTCTTGAACATTCAAAGCTTTCCAGGGTACCGTTGTGAATCGGATATGTCACTCTGTAAATGGAGGATTGACTTAAAATTACGCCGATACTCCCTTAAATACTGACTAACCGTAGCCTTGTCCTCCGAGAAGTGGAGTTTCTTCTTGAGATAGAGGGAGAGTATGGTCTTCATACCGTAGTAGGAGAACCTCTCACAGAACTCATTACCAATTATAAAGAACACAGACTTAGGATACGGTAACTTCTAGACAAAAAATATAAAATAAATCAATATAATAAAGCTCTTTTCTCATATACATATATATATATATAGACAAGTTAGCTACAGCTGGCCAAACGGCTGGACCGAATTGGATGAAATTTTTAAGAAACTTATGGGTACTCTGGGGGTAACATAGGTAAAAAAATTAGATTTTTTTCGACCCCCCCCCCCCCATCTCCCAGTGTTTTTTTTTTAATTTCTAGGGCAACGCCGGGTGCTCCAGCAAAATATGTACATAAAAATAAATACTCTCAAATAAAATAAAAACCTTTTAGATAGACATTTAAAGGCCCTCCGTGAAAGGCTGAATACACCATGTGATTTGCTTTAACTTGAGAATACTTTATTATTTGACAATTATCGAGAATGAAAAATAAAATCACCCTTTAAATATTTGTTCAGTAAATTTACTTTCTGATAAATATTTAAAAATACAATTGAAATTCAATTTGTTTCAACAAAGTTTATAAATTTTGAAAAAAGAAAAAACCAACAATTTACTTTTGTAAAAGTTATGATCAGATTAGTTTCTCCAGGGGCACTCCGCACAATATTTCAAAATAATGTAAAATGTAAAAAAGTTGAATAAATGTATTCTTGATATGTATTCGGTTCTGACTACCCACTTAACAAGAACTCAAACATCTGAGAGATTTTTTTATAAGATCTATTAGAGATGAAATGGAAAATATCCTAAAGAAGACTTTTATACTGTAAACCAAATTATAGACATCTTAATGGCATGATTTTTATAAATGTTGTTGACCAGTTATCAGTGGATAAAATATGTTCTTTGTCATTCTGTTTTTAATGATTAGAAAAAAAATGATTTGTTTAACAGTTTAAAATCTATTGTCAGAAAATGTTGTCTTTGTTGTCAAATTTTCTCACTAAAATGTTTTTTNCACTCCCCTCTCCCCTCCAATATGTTTCCTTGTCCCTTATTTCCCCTCCCACCTGTCTTTTTTATTCTAAAACAATCATTTCCCCGATAAAACACTTTGTCATAGTATAGAAAGGAAATAGAAAGGTCGTCCATCATTACAGTGAAGTAATCTACTTAGAATAAGCTTCAGTGGAGAACCTCACCACCACATTTTTCAAATATCAGCTTAGGATCCAACGCTGGAATGGTGCTAAGCAGTGGGGGTGTCTATTAACGTTCTAGAGAATTAAACAACTTTTTCACAAGGACCTACAGAATTTTCTGAACTTTATACAATTTATATTTGAGACTAAACTGGAGAACAGCTAAAGAAACTGAACTATAAATAAACTAAAATTTATCTGAATCTGAATAAACTGAAAACTATTATGTAAATTAAATTCTATAATCTGAAAACTTTTTTTTGTAAACTGTAGACTATTTTTTAAACTAAGAAGTATTGTTTAAACTATTTTGTAAACTTGTTTAAGAACACAAAAACCTCCAGGATTAATCTTAAAGTAAGCAGATAGAGCAGACATCTTGACGCTATGAAAAAAATATTTTTGGCGTTGGATAGACCCTAGAAGTATGTATGTATGTAAGGATGTATGTATGTATATATATATTATAGATATAGATATATATAGATATAAATATATAAAGATATAAATATATATAGATAGTTATTATATAGATATAGATATATAGATGTTATGAATCTTATCCAAACGTTCTCCTTGTATTGGGACTCTTTCTTTGCAAACATTTATACAAAGTTGAACATTAGGTCAAATATTTAATATCTATGCAGTGTCTAGGATCCAAGGATCCAATCTGATCCACTACATTTTGGCTTCCCGGAGACAGATCCAAGGGGCAAAATATTTAATATCTATGTAGTGTCTAGGATCCAAGGATCCAATCTGATCTACTACATTTTGGCTTCCCGGATACAGATCCAAGGGGCAAAATATTAACCAAAAACTTTTTGCTCAAAACCCAAATCTGAACTGTTGAAAAATTGTGCTGAAAAGGCGGGATGAGTGCTCACATGACCCTGACTGAAAGGGACTATTCTTGTATTTTTCAGTGATCCTCCATTTACAAATCTCTTTATGTGATCAATAATGTGGAAGATATCGTCGTTATTCTAGTTTTCAATTATGACAAGTCACTGTATATTGAAACCAAATTTGAAATTAATCAATCTAAAAAAGAAGATGATGACAGTTGTGAATCGGACATACCACTCTATAAATGGGTCTCATTTAAAATTACGACTACAGTCCTTTAAATACAACTACAGTCCCTTTAAATACAACTACAGTCCCTTTAAATATAACTACAGTCCCTTTAAATATAACTACAGTCTCTTTAGATACAACTTCCGTCCCTTTAAATACAACTACAGTCCCTTTAAATACAACTACAGTCCCTTTAAATACAACTACAGTCCCTTTAAATACAACTACAGTCCCTTTAAATATAACTACAGTCCCTTTAAATATAACTACAGTCTCTTTAAATACAACTTCAGTCCCTTTAAATACAACTACAGTCCCTTTAAATACAACTACAGTCCCTTTAAATATAACTACAGTCCCTTTAAATATAACTACAGTCCCTTTAAATACAACTTCAGTCCCTTTAAATACAACTACAGTCCCTTTAAATACGACTACAGTCCCTTTAAATACAACTACAGTCCCTTTAAATACAACTTCAGTCCCTTTATATACAACTACAGTCCCTTTAAATGCAACTACAGTTCCTTTAAATACAACTACAGTCCCTTTAAATATAACTTCAGTCCCTTTCAATACAACTACAGTCCCTTTAGATACAACTACAGTCCCTTTAAATACAACTACAGTCCCTTTAAATACAACTACAGTCCCTTTAAATACAACTACAGTCCCTTTGAATAATCTATTTTATTCTTTGTAAAAAATGAAGCCTTGCACTGACAAATCTTCAAATATTCGTGACCTGTATTGTTGTACAATATAATTATCAGAAAACAATAGAAATAGTTTTTTATTTGCTGGAATTATATTTTGAATAAAAATAGAAATTTCTGAACTTTTGAAACTAAAGCGCTAATCTACTGCACTTAAACTTACAATCATGCAAAAAAAAGGGGGAATAAAATTTTTGCAATCGTGCATTCGGCATTCTGGTTTGTTGAACATACTTTTGACACCTCTCAATATTCAAATGGACTTCATTTAATCCGTGAGACCAAAACAATTTCGGATTAGTGCTGAATCGACAGAAATAGACGTTCTACGTCGTTTTGATTTATCTTTGGGATATTTCCCCCAATTCTAGTTAGCGTACACACTACAATACATGCATATATGCTAGTATATACATATATATATATATTAGCTTGATCGGGAACACATTTTTGCCTGAAAACTAGACCTTTTCTGTAAAAGTCAACCCACTCAACTTCGCATTGTAAACACAAGTTAAGAGCATTCCGTTCCGAGTTACCTTATCACAATTTGAGGCAAATCGGTCAAGGGAATCATGAGTTATGATCGGACAAACAAACAAGCAGACAAACATACATTCCTACTTTATATATATATTTAACTGTAAAAGAAATAGATATATTTATATTCCACGAGTCTACTTTGATATTAAATACTGGTTTAAGTTTTCCAAGTTTGTGTTCATTGTTCGAGAACAAATTAAAACTCAACAATTACACAGCAAACAAATACAATAACCTCACATCTTAACAAGTGAGACTAAACTGCAATATTAAAAAAGGGTAATAATAATCTATATAATAAAGTTGTTTGCTTCGAAGCAGTTTCTAACCCAACTAACCTTTGTTTTCTCTGGAGCAGCTGCTTTAAGTATGCTTTCATCTAACATTTGTTTGCTCTGGAGCAGCTTCTAACCAAACTAACCTTTGTTTCCTCTGGTACTGCTTCTATCCCAAATAACCTTTGTTTGCTCTGAAGCAGCTTCTAATTTTGATTTCAACTAACCTTTGTTTGCTCTAGAGCAGCTTCTAATCCAACTAATCTTTGTTAGCTCTGGAGATGCTTCTAACCCAACAAACCTTTTTTTTCTCTGGAACAGCTTCTAATTTGCTTTCAACTAACATTTGTTTGCTCTGGAGCAGCTTCTAACCCAACTAAACTTTGCTTGCTCTAGAACAGTTTCTAAGTTTGCTTCCAACTAACATTTTTTTTGCTCTGGAGCAACTTCTACCCGACTAACCTTTGTTTGCTCTTGAGCTGTTTCTAACCCAACTAACCTTTACCTGCTCTGTAGCAGCTCTTTATCATTTCTTTACTCTGGAGCAGTTTCTAAGTTTGCTGCAAACTAACCTTTCTTTACTCTAGAGCAGCTTCTAACCCAACTAACCTTTGTTTGTTCAGAAACAGCTTCTAAGTTTGCTCCCAACTAACCTTTGTTTTCTCTAGAGCAGCTTCTAATCCAAATAATCTTTGTTTGCTCTTGAGCTGCTTCTAACCCAACTAACCTTTGCTTTCTCTGGAGCAGCTCTTAACCCAACTGACCTTTGTTTGTTCTGGAGCTGCTTCTAAGTTTGCTTCCAACTAACCTTTGTTTGCTCTGATTAGCGTCTAACCAAACTAAACTTTGTTCAGCTCTGGAGCAGCTTCTAACCTAACTAACCTTTGTTTCCTCTGAAGAAGCTACTAAATTTGCTTCCAACTAACCTTTGCTTGCTCTGGGGCAGCTTCTAAGTTTGCTTTCAGCGACTCCGCCGCCTTTTCCTGATTTCCCATTTTCCAGTTTAATGTTTTCTGAAATATAAAGAAAATGTAAATACAAAACAAAGGGTGTCAATAAAATATATGAACATGAAGGGTGTCAATAAAATATATGTACATGAAGGGTGTCAATAAAATATATGAACATGAAGGGTGTCAATAAAATATATGAACATTAAGGGTGTCAAGAAGAAAGAACCTAAACTGTTTTAAAAGACATGAGACAGTGACTCTTTGTGAATCTTTTGAAAACTCCAGCTAGACAACAACAAGAGAGAACAATTAATGAATAAATGAGAAAAAGAACAAATAGTATGCTACAAAAGATACAAAAAGACGACATTTAAGCAATGTTATGTGTGATGTTACAGAAAATAGTTCTACGTTAATATTAAAAGATTTTGCTTGGTTGGGAAAATAATTGAAATATTTAAATAAAATTTTTGAAATTACTATATTGTAGACAGAAGGAGACGGTTAAATGTATTTTTTATCTGACTGTAAACTAGACAGAAGGAGATGGTTAAATGTATTTTTTATCTGACTGTAAACTAGAAAATATTTAAATAAAATTTTTGAAATTACTATATTAGCCCCAATCCCCCCCCCCCCTCCCTCTCTTGAAGAAGCAGAACAAAATGAAACCACTCTTTTCGTTTTAATGTAACTTAATACTATGACTAAAAAGTTAAATTAAATTTCATTTTTGGCTAAAATGTATGCTTTTAATATGTGTTTTATCATTCGTTAAACATAAAATTTTAAATTTAAACTTTTCACTAGGGAGCTTTAATAGCTGAATAATTGAGTTTCTATATTTAGGTTTACAATTTAGAAATTTAGAGTCCAAGTTTTAGTTTATGTTTATAATTTATTTATTTACAAGTTACAACTCAAATTTTCTAATTTCTATATTATTGCAAACAGATGGTATAAACCTTTGATATTTCAAAATTAGACTTCTTGATCTGACAAAATTTATTAGAATATATAAGACCCCACTCCCTTTACAAATTACTGTATAGTCAATACAGTTATTATAATGCATCTACCTCTCAGACATTAAAAAAGATGCAAAAATATATTTTTTTTTCATAACATTTCCGTGTGCAACAAGACAAAGATTTAACCGGTTTAGCACAGGGATAGAAATATGCAATGTTTAAGGTCTAACTGAAAGATCTTATTTTGTTGGTATTCTAATCAATTTACTCAAACGAAACCAGAGGCCGTATTTAATGAACTTGAACTGCCTACCGCCGGTTCAAATTTGTATTAATGCACCGATTTAAATCCTTCCTTAATCTTCAACTTTGAAGCGGTAGTAGATAATTCAGTGACGTAGCTCAAATTCATTAAATTCGTTCCCACGCATACATATATTGTAAACTAAAAATAAACTATTCTAAAGCAGGTTAGACATTTTTTTTGCCATTTAATTTTTCACAGTGCAGACAATAAATGGATGACTGTGCAAAACTGTGAACTAGACAGAAGGAAAGGGTCAAATGCGATATTACTGGCACGACGTTGGTACCTCGGAGCTCCTCTAGTTTGCAATTTTCGCCACTAACTTTGATTTTTAACCCTTAATCTTTGCAATTTAGTAGTCTAGTAGACCTTAGATATTTCAAACTATTTATTCTTAATTCTGTTTGATGAAATCATATAAGTTTGTAATATCAAATGTTTACACCATCAAGTTTTTTTAACGTTTATTCTATTGTTTCACAAAATTTCATAAAAAGTCATCAAAAATTAAAAAAGATATGACTAAATATCAGCAAAAATTTCATACTTATAATACGAAACAATCTATAAACGGTAAAACTTTTGGGCAAAACATTCACCCTGAACTAACCAGAGAGAGAAGCATTCGGTTTGTTTTATTTAAAATCAAACGTGTTTTAGTCTATAATTCAACACTCTTTAAACTTACAGATTTTTTTATTTTATGCTTTTTTATTTAAAATGCATATGCCAACAAAAAAAATTTTTAGAAAAAAAGCCAACAAAATTATGTATAAGGGGTTAAATTGTGATCAAAAGTCACAGCTTTCTGAAATATTGACAGAACCGTTAAATCCAAGTGCATTGCTAATTTTTTTACTCAAATTGTACTTATAAATATTAATATATATTCCCTCCACCAATACACGCACTAATACAGAATACCAAGAATAAAGTAAAACATAACTTAATAGATCTGAAAAGATGACATTAATATAAGAAAAAGATAAACAAGATATTTGTATTATACATCAAAAATGGACATATATTAGTCTGGGCATTATGCATCTTTTCAGATTTATTCATTTTAAGCTTTTTTATGTAGAAAGGATTGTCTGCAGGGTGTCCCACGAAATATGACGACTTAAAGAACGTCTTTGATCAAAAATCTGAACAAAATTTATAATATCTCCGTTAATATTGAAAGCACAAAACAGGCAGGCCCAATGCCGCAAATTATTCAGATGATCTAAGACGACCTTCCTGTCGTCTCTTCAATGTGGGACACCCTGTATCTTTCATAATAAATGAAGGTTAAAAAGTGTACACAACTGGATGACCTTAAATACATATATCCTGAAGCTAAACTTCTGTAGACAACTCAACCTTAAGGTTTAAAGGGACTGTAGACAACTCAACCTTAAAGTTTAAAGGGACTGTAGACAACTCAACCTTAATGTTTAAAGGGACTGTAGACAACTTGACCTTAATGTTTAAAGGGACTGTAGACAACTTGACCTTAATGTTTAAAGGGACTGTAGACAACTTGACCTTAATGTTTAAAGAGACTGTAGACAACTCGAACTTAATGTTTAAAGGGACTGTAGACAACTCGACCTTAATGTTTAAAGGGACTGTAGACAACTCGACCTTAATGTTTAAAGGGACTGTAGACAACTCAACCTTAATGTTTAAAAAGACTGTAGGCGATTATGAAGTGACCGATTCAAAATTGTACTCTTTAGGCAAATTGATAAGCGAATAACTCGACTTAAACTTAAAATCTATAAATTGAAAAAACTATAAAAAGCATGAATTTTGACTCTTAAAATTTATCGTTCTGTATTTAAATCATATGAAAACAACTTTGTAACCCCTCCGTGTAAGTCCTTGATAATACTTGAAATACAAAATTCCCAAATGTAGTCTGCCTTTTCCTTTGCGTCCAAAATTATGGTAGGTTTCAATTGATGAACTCAACCCAAAATTAGCTAAAAATGCAATTTCTTTGTAGTTTTTCAGTTAAAAAATGACATAATTTTTATTTTTTATCTGAGTGTAAACTAGACAGAAGGAGACGGTTAAATGTATTCTTTATCTGACTGTAAAATAGACAGAAGGAGACGGTTAAATGTATTTTTTATCTGACTGTAAACTAGACAGAAGGAGACGGTTAAATGTATGTGACAATACTGGTACAGCTTTGAGATAGCTTCTCTGGTTAGTAATATATTCATATATTAGATATTCAAAACATCTTTTTCAATTGATCTTCTATGAAAAGAATTATATTTGAAAACCTAAAATGTTTTACTTTAATTGCAATTTACTTAAATTTGACGAGAGCTTATAGTGGGGGGTCCCAATCTCTTATTAAACTCTATAATACCTTAAACCAGTTTTAAATGCCAACCTATAAGCCACACCGCAGATTATGCTGTGTCGGTGAAACATCTATAAATTGCACAAAAAAATTACGTTTATTGTTTTTTGTTGATATGTAATGTGGCTTCTTTATTTTTTTTTGCAGTTTACATTTTTATAGTTTAACACAAAACTTGCTTTGTAACCCTGCTTGCTTGGAGAACCTGAACCAAGGACATTTTCGGGGTTCAGAATAAGTTACGGAATTTGGGGCAAATCGGTCAAAGGGTTTATGTATAAACAAACAAATTTTATGTAAAAAGAAGATAAATATATCGATTATAGACAGATAAAAAATTGTGACGAATAAAAAAAGTTCACTCATCACTAAAATGTGTGTGCTTTGTGCCACAAAATCCTAGATTTATAAAATATAAAGTTTGAACATTAGATTTGTTTACACAAGACCCATTTTTCTTCCTCAACAAATATTTACGGAGAAAATAAAAAATGTGATGAAATAATCCTCAAATATATTTCTAAAGTTTATGCACTTTCTAACATTGTGCGTAAATACTACTAATTAAGGTGGGCCGGCGTTGTCCGTGTTTTTTTAGAAATTGTCAAATACTTGACCTTCAATTGATCTAAGAGATTTGCCAACCACGCCGCTAAACATTAAAAAGCATGGACATAAGTCACCTGCAATAAATCAAACAGAGGCATACTCGGGAAGGGGGGAGGCTATGAGGGCGTATCCCCCCCCCCTGTATTTGTAAAATCTATGGTTTCCAAGGAATTTTCAGAACTCAACGAGTGGTTAACCCCCCCTTGGAAAGAAAAAATGTAAGCCCCCCTCCTGAACAAGTACGGCCCCTTGATTTCAGATATTTTTAGCAATTTTGATTTTTATGGCTTTTCTTCTAAATACTACTTTCTTTTTTGTGACGGATTCATAAAACAGACAAAAATGAAATTGTTCAGAAAAAGTGGATGTTAACGGTTTAAAAATGTGAACTTAGGCCTTAGGCATTATTAATTACTGTGAACTCACACGAACATTTCCCGTGGCATGAACTCTACCACCCTCAATCCTCCCCNGGGAAATAAATTTACATTACAGGGAGTAGGGGAAATAAATTTACATTACAGGGAGTAGGGGAAATAAATTTACATTACAGGGAGTAGGGGAAATAAATTTACATTACAGGGAGTAGGGGAAATAAATTTACATTACAGGGAGTAGGGGAAATAAATTTACATTACAGGGAGTAGGGGAAATAAATTTACATTACAGGGAGTAGGGGAAATAAATTTACATTACAGGGAGTAGGGGAAATAAATTTACATTACAGGGAGTAGGGGAAATAAATTTACATTACAGGGAGTAGGGGAAATAAATTTACATTACAGGGAGTAGGGGAAATAAATTTAC